CACCATTTTAGAAAGTAGAGAAATACATAATTGATTTTGGGATTCAGCCTCTCATTATTTCAAGGAGCAGGCAAAGGATGCATTTTAATACAGAAAAGTACACTCGCGACATTACAGGCCTGCACAGCTGTTTTACACAGTAAAAATCACTGCAGATTCTAGCTGCTCCCCACCCACAGAAAACAAAGAAGACAGCCTTCACAATGCCTCTACAATAATACTTTATCATTTTGAATTCATTCAGCCTTTTTAATGTGGGATATGAGGAGATTAGGAAGAAAACATAGCAGAATTGTTCTAAGGAAGCCTTAGTATGATATCTTTTTGAAACTATACTTGCTTGTTTCCTTTTTGCTTGTTTTTATAGTACTGGGAATTGAACCCAGGGACTTTGCACTGAACTACAATGCCAGTTCTTTTCAATTTTTTTTTTTTTTTTTTTTTTAATTTTGATACAAAGTCTTGCTAAGTCTCTGTTTCCCCAGCTGGGTTCCAACTTGTAATCTTCCTGCTTCAGCCTCCCAGGATGCTAGGATGACAGGTATGTGGCCACCACACCTAGCCAATATGTTATTTTAATAGTGTGTATGTATTCCTGAGGCTGAATATGTAGTTATCCTTCACAAGAAATGCATTTTGAAAATGCTCATTTTTTACTATACTGCAGCTTTAGAGTAATGTATTTTATAGGAGAAAAAGTCTATATTCGATTTCAACTGAGGTTTTACATCGTAGACTGAAATACTCTAAAGGAAGAATTGGCATATCTCAAAGGAAAAAAATAAAAAACTAAAGTATCTAAGTTGTAAATTATCATAAAGAAGTATAAAAAAAGAGAATTCCACGTGGAATATAAACACAGCTTTCCCTCATGCAGTATAATCTTTCCATCTACACTTTGTGAATTCAAGTCCCTGTGTAAACAGGTTATAAATATTATCAGAGAAGCACTCCTAAATGGCCAAAAAATAGCATATACATTGCTTTAACTGCTTAGGTAGGTCCTGCAAAGCCTAGCCACAAATGCTTCACTTTGTTTTACTGTTTACGATATTTCATTTTTTATCTCAGTGAAAAATTTAAAATATGGTAGAGATGATAGAAAGAATCCTCACTTGTCTTATATCAAAATCTTTTGGTTTTAGATAAGAGGCTTTTGTGAGTTGGATTAAAAAAATCCATTCAATATTTCAGATAATTTTACAACTTTACAGTGTGGAAAGAGCGCTGAAATTAAGTGGCTCATATACTGTTTGGCAGACTCCACTGGTGGTAAATGTTTTCTGGAAGTGCTTTATTGAGGATGTAACATGGGTCCAAGGTTTACTGAAAACTACGTTAAAAGAACTGAAACTCACAATCCTGTCCCTTTAGGGCCACAATTAGATGTTAGTTCAGACTGAGAGAATTTTAAGGCCAAGTTTTAATTCTGAAAAAAGCACACCAAAGAAACCAGTTACAGAAAAAGCAAGCAGGGATTCAATTCTCAGACAGGATATAGAAACTTTTCATGAATGTGGGTTTGAAAGAGAAGTTTGACTATGTTAGGCTCACAGATGACACAGCGTTAAGACAGAAGATTTCAGGTCTGAGAAAGAAAGGGATGGATATGCTTCACACACACACTAGTGGGCTGCAGCTCCTACTGGTAGATTTAGGCAAGAACTTCACACAAACGTCTTTATGAAGTGACTACCGTGAAGCCATCCATTTAAACTTACTCTTATAGCTGTCATTAATTGAAACTCCCACTAATTTCAAAAACCTTAATAAAATTGTTTAGAATTCCTAACTATATGATATTATCATTCTACAATAAATACTTCAGTACTTCTTTTCAATTGGTTGTATCACTGCCTTATTGTCTTAATAACAGGTAGATTATTTTAAAAATTGTTGAAATTATAAAATACCACTGAGTTTTGAACAGAAATTTTTTGTAGATCAGAGGGATTTAAAGATTGAGAAGCTGGAAGAGGGTCATGAGCTCAGGAGCCATTAAATTTCTTAGGAGTGAAGCAACGACAACCAAATTATAATAAGGCTGAAGGGAAAGAAAATACACAGTCATAGCTGCTACATATCAAGAAGAAGCCAAAAAGAGACTGTGATGGTGAAAGCCTTGCCCAGGTGATTTTCTCTCAAGTGTCCTTTTTCCTTGTCTACCTGGGGCAGTGTTTTGCCTTTGCCGCAGAACTCCTTGTTCAGCACACCCTGAAATCCTGACTTGGTGAGACTGCCCACTTGGCTCACAGTCGGAGCCTGAGCTCTCTCAGATAGTTACACAAAGCCTTTGATATTGCCCCAATCCCTAATGGTCACAGGGAGGTTTATGAAAAAAGCATAGTATTTGCGAAATGAAACATCAACATTACATTATTAGAGTCATTTCCCTTATCAAAGGCACACATTGACACTCCGTATGACACAAACAGTTCTCTTCTTGCAAAAAACTTTTTCCATAAGCAATTTTGTTCCCTTTCTTTATCTGGATACTTACTTTAAAGAATGAGGGCTACTTTATGAACTGGAGAGGTAAGTAAAGCTGAGGTTTTGGACAAGAAAGGGAAATTCTGACGAGATGGAAAAGTATTTCTGTTGCAAGAATTAAATATAGTTTAGCATTTACTACTCTGTGGCTTTGAATGCAATTAGGGAAAAGTGGAATATGTAACATAGACAAGTTGGACACGCCAACAGCTTGGCTTTACAGGGATATCTAAAATCTCAATATTTCAGTGAAATGGGATTTTTGACTCTTGGTTAACCAACTAGATGGTTGGTTAGTTCTCCACTTTCTACACATAAATAATAATAATAATTCATGTTGTTTTTACATAAATAATAATGATTTATGTTGCTTTTTTATCATAAATAATGATTTATGTTGTTTTTACATAAATAATGATTTATGTTGTTTTCATACCATATATTAGAATTAAATTTCTCCTCTCCAGTTTTTCATGGATTTTGTTTTTAGATTAAATGACTTTTATCTAGTTTTTGTATAATTCACTTTTTACAATTTTCTAAAAGTTCTAGAGATAATATCCAGGAATTGAGGGCAAAATGTATTTTCCTGTTATTGAGTTGGATATTTCATGTCCATGAAATATTTTTTGGTTTTTCATGACACCTTCATTAAAAAATATATACATTGAATAAAATTATTTTTAATTTATATTGAATATTAAGTATGAGATGAATTTTACTGTATATATATCTTTGAACTTTTAAGCTGCAGTGTATCTTATTGCATTTCTTTTATTTTACACAACAAAACAAAACATTTTGCCAACAGTTGGCCTGTCCTACTTATTAAAACTTTTCTACAAAGTCTGTTACCAGCTGAGCTAAAACAGCAGCTGCCCACTGCAAATAATTGCAGAAATGTTTTTCCCATTGGCCTGAAATCAAACATATGTCTTACTATAACAACTAAATTATAACTTTCTTTATGGATATGTTAATTACCGAGGAGTGTTAATTAAAGCCTTACACTCCTGGATTTGGATAACTAGTAAAATATCCCAGTTTGGGGGAGGTACGGAATTTTGTAATTTTAATATGTCAAATATTTAATATAAGGAGAGTATTTTCATTTAATACAATTGACTTGTTCTGTTTGAACACTTGGCCAACATCATGTATAAACAGTGTGTAAAGAGCTCATTTATAATTAGTGTTAGAAGCCATAACTCTCACATTTTTGTTTGTTTGTTTGTTTGTTCTGTTTTGTCTTTTTGAGACCAGGGTCTCACTATGCAGTTCAGGCTGGCCTTGAGCTCACTTTGCAGCTGAGGCTGGTCTGGAACTTGCAAGGACCCTCCTGCCTCAGCCTCCCCTGGGATTACAGGTCTGCGCCACCACACCCTGCTACTCATTTTTGATGGCACTGAATTTTTATCTACCTTGTATTCTTATTTAAGAGGTTATTATAAGCTTCAGAACTTTTCATGCTTTTCTAGTGTAAATTTTTCAACAATGCAGGAAATACTGTTTAGTTTGCATGCAAATGCTTTACACTGAATTTAAGACTTCATTAGTAGAACATTTCCAAGTTCACCTTCCAAACAGCACATTTCACGGTGCTTCTGGTTGTCACAGTGTTGAAGATAAGGGCTACAGCTTTACTCAGGGAATGAAACGGAAAGGTATTATGAGAAGTGTTGCTCAGTTTTCCTTAGGATTAAGACCTAATAATAAATGAACATTTTTTTTCTTCAAAAATACTACTAAAGCAGTGTTTCTATATGGCTACTCTGTCTAGTACATTATTCCATTGAAGTACTACAGACAGCTGAGTTAGCTAGAGATATAATAGGCAGTCAGACAGCACTGGGCCCTTAGGGAGTCAGTGCAGAAGATGAGAACACATTACACCTGTGGCTGGAGGAGCACCTGTTGAAGGCCATGCCTCAAGATAAAGATGGAATGGCCAGGGCTGCATGCCTCCCCTAACGATAAGCAATAAGTAAAAGATTATACTATAATTGGTATCACTTGATGTAATACAGCCTAGATAGACCTCAGTCACCCAGGACCTCCTGATCCATGACCTCCTCAAAAGGTCTTTGTTCTTCCCATACACACTTGCTACATGGTCTGCTTCCCCACTGGATCAATATTACCTACGTGTTTATATTTGTGACCTTATTGGTTGATCATGGTTTTGATCCATTTTGCACTCACCTCATGATTTGGCTCTATAAAACTCCCTTTGAGAAGTGGGCTTGTCTGCAACCCATCTTCATGTCCCTCCTGCCTCTCAGAAACTATTTCTCTCAATACACTTTTCCTACTCTTAACCTCCATTGTTCCTTAGAATTCATTCTTTGATTTTGAGGAACACGAATCTGACATCTAACAGGTAAGGAGTTAAACTATTTCTCCTGAATAATTGTTTGGTAGAATAATTCTTTGGTAGAATAAAGCAGAATAATTGTTTGGTAGTCTGTGATGTTACCCTAATTGAAAGAGAAATAAAAATAAAGCATTACCTTCTGGATAGTAATTATTCCTTCCTGGGTATCTTTGTCAACAGATATCTTGAAAATTCCCAGTCCATCACCATCGACAATTTTGTATTCCATTTCAGCATTTACTCCTATATCTGCATCAGCAGCTTTAATTCTGGCCACAACTGAGGCTACTGGTAGTGATTCTGGGACATTATATTGGTAAGACCCTGTGAAATTCAAAATAAGGAATGAACAAAATTTTACCCCAAGGTAGCCAAACAAGCAGACAGATAGACACACAAATAAATTTTTGGTGCTTCGATATCAACTTTGCTTAATTCATTTTTATTTTTCAAGAGTAAACGCTAAGAATATGAAAGAAGATAATAAGGCAACATGTGACAAATGACAGGTTTCATATAGCTTCAAGAAATATGATAGTTCTGATTCAATAATGATAACTCTATGACAGCACAAACAGATGGCCTGAGGAAAAACAAGAGAAGATTCGCTTTTCCTATAGTTCTCTACTGGTGAAAAATATGCTGTTCAATAATAAAAAAATGTCAAAATACAATGTAATTAATATATAATCATCAAATAGAAGTAATTGAATTTAATTAATACAATAGACATAAATAACAACAGACTAGCTCAGGCTTCTGTTGGGCAAATAGAGCCTAAATATTTCTGATAGCTTACTGCTGGCATTTACTTAGTGTCTTTCACAAAGAAATTCTCAGGAAACTGGAAAAGGAGGTATGCACAGGGCAATATTAATTTTCTTTTAGCTCATAAATGTACCAAGTATAAGAATTATTTTTGGAGTTTTATTTAGAACATACATAGTGCAAATAGCATAAGACCATAGGCAATATTTATTTAAACACATGAGAAGTAAAAAAGAAAGAAAATTTTAATGTATCTTTTCTGCTTCACCTTTGTAATAACTCCTTTTCACCACTCTTCAACTAAAACTAAACCAAAACAACAACAAAATTTGAAAGACAGGTGAAGAAGGTAGAAAATGTCTCAGAGCAACATTATTCTTAATCATTTTTCTCTAATCATTTACTTCCTCCTACGTCCTGTACCTTTTCCATTTCCCTTTGGCTGTTAAACTGTGACACATTTGTTCTTCATTCTGAGGCAAGAAGAAGAGCTTCTCTTTGAGAGGAACATAGAAAGGAATATGTATTTATGTGAAAGGACTATTTATTTAGTTTTACAGTGAAACTGGTTTGCTATTATCTAAAGATTTTGAGTAGCTATTTGATAGAGACCATTATGAAGCAGACCTGAGCAGGACTTATTCAGTTGGCTTTTCATGTTCACTTTTGAATCTTTCCAAGGCTTAGGCTCCTTGCCTGGAAACTGTGGACTCATAGTAAGTGAACCTCTGTGAGTCACTAATCCCTACAAAAGCCTCTAGTGGTGGATGAAGACAGAAAGCCTCAAAGGATAAGACAAGATCACAGCTATGGATACCTGGATCAGATCTCAACTGGATAAAGACTATAACATCAGGCATCTCACTTCTGGGTGTATTAATTTATTACTTACAGAAGTCTTTGAGTGATTCTGCCCTTCTTGAATACTCCCCTCCCTTCTTCTGATAACCAAATACATAGGGGCCACCCAGAGAAGGTCTTGGTCTTAGCCCTAAGAGAATCCCAAATTCTTTGAGAAGGCTTTGATCCTCCCGGAGCCCTGAAATCATTTCATTTGCCTCTTTTTATTTAGCTTTTACTGTACACTTGTTCGGGAGATTGCTGAACCTGATCAGCCTGCAATAACTAAGGGATATTATTAACCTGATGGCTATTATTTTTTAAAGTTACTGCAATATATGCTTAAGATCTTTTTAATGATTTCTTTCCAACATCTAGCAGTCCTCAATAAAATTCAAAAAGTTTCAAGGATAGAATAGTTATTAAATTGTAGAGAAAATCTCAGCAAAAAATTAAAAATTTAACAGTATATCATTGCCTTTCCTCACTTAAGCAAGTAAAAGAGTATCTAATAAGTTGGAAACTCTCTATCTTAGCAAAGCATGATAAAGTGAAGCTACTAAAGTTCTCAGTATAATTCTTATCACCCTAAGTTTAAAGAAAAGAGAAAAAGTTAATTTCATCAAAAGACAAAGATAATACATTTTCCCTAAAACCCCTTCCTTTTATGCCATGATAAGCCGTCAAATACACAAGGGTAGTCCCCTTTCCCTTACTTTGAATGAGAAGCATTGAACCATTTTTTTTCCTGTTGCAGTATTTGAGGCCCAGCCACAAAGCCTTAACAAATATGTTATAGATGAAATATTTAAGGAACCATCTTTGAAGGAAAAAATAGTGGCTCTCATCAATCATTAATATTTCTTGTTTAATATTATTTGCTTCCTCCTGTTGGTAAGAAATATAGTTCTCTATTTCTATTGGATATGAATCTTAAAAACATTTTCCAGACATCAAAATTTTTTTTTAAATTTTCTTTAGTATTCCAAAGAAATGCCACACGAACCAAAAAAGAAAAAAAGAAAAGCATTTAAAAAGAGACTGAGATGAAATGCTTTCTTGCAAACAGAAAAGATCTTCCTTGCAAACATTTATTTTCCTTCTTCTTGGAAAGTCAAAAGCCACTCTGGTCAAAGAAGTTGAAATGAGGGCATGTGGTTCCAGTGCTCTAGTTTGATTTCTTTTCAAACACTCAATGTTGGCACCAGAAACAGCATAGAACTGTCAGAGGAATATTTAGTGTGCATGAATAGATTAAACTATGAAATGAAAAATAAAATCATTTATTTCTGTTCTTTACATCTTCAAAAATAAAGCAATATGTTTTTGTGTGAGTTGATACTGTATTACTAATGGGCAAAAGCTTATAATTTACAGAACATGTACAAAGGGGAATCTTAGACTAAGCATCTACTATACAAACACAATTAACATTTGTGTAGTCAAAATGTGAGTGAAAGAAAAGTTGCATTATATTTAAGATAGAAATGACACAAATATATGATGGCTGTATTTGTCTTTGGTACTCTTATTCCACAGAGTGAGTTAAAATTATGTCCCTATAAAATAGTTCTGGTTCAATGCGGTAACAATAGGGTATCCTCGAGAAAATTGAGAAAAAAAATCCTTTAAAAGCTTTTTTGTTTTGTTTTGGTAGGCTAAAAAGAAAAAATTCATTAACAAAAGGAAGAGCTTACTTCGAGGAAAGCGAGGTGGGTTGTCATTGACATCAGTTAGGGTCACAGTGACTGATGTAGTTCCTGACAGTCCGCCATTTTGACCAACCATATCCTTTGCCTGAATGACAAGCAAATACTGGTCTTTAGCCTCTCTGTCCATGTTTGGAAGGGCAGTCTTGATGATTCCTGCAAGATTTCAAATCCCAGTAAAATGCATCATGAATCACTCCATTATAATAACAATGGACACTGACAAATAGCCAACCTTTCTCCAGTTCTCTTTTGTTGTTCTCTTGACTTTAAATAATTTTACTGTGCATTGAAGGCTAAAGGGATATTATAATTGCACACAGTATTGCAAAAGAGATAAAATAATAATGTAATATACTCTCAATATTGTGTGGTAAAATTACTTTTATATTTCATGAAAATAAATTAAGGAAAGAACAACTTATTAGTAAATAAAGTAAGTCTTTCTCTAGACTTATGAGACATTATGATTACATAGCAATGAATTTATCCTTTTTTTTTTTCATCCTTTCCAATTAATAACAATTTATTACCAATTCCCAAAATACTAGGAGTCCAAGATAAATAACATTCCTGTATTCAGCAATGATATTTTTGTTTAGACCTGAGTATTCTCAGACACAACCATACACATGCACATACATACCCTGAGCAACACATCCTTATGTTTTACATTTAAATTACAGAGTAGGACAACTTCTTGAACACACTTATCCTATTATTCTATCTGTAATTTGCAGCTGTTGCTACAATCACAACAATACAGAATTTGAGTAACACCTTGTTTGAATACTTTTGGCTTTTCATACTACTTTGTAATTAATCTTTGAATATTATAATTAAAATGAAAAAGTCACATACCCAATAGGTTTAGTTAGCAACTCTAATACATCAGTATTCTCCTTAGGATCCTAATTCTTTCCAGAAATATTTTGTCCTTCAATACTTCCAATTATAGCAAAATACATACCAATTTCACTAGCACTCTTTGCCTGCAAGGATTAATAATCTTTGACTAGGAGTCACAGAATTTAAATATATTCATCTTTTTCTATTTTATGTGCATACTTGTTTATCTCTCTTGTTAACCATCTTTTTCTCACTCTTTTATTGGTTATATAGATTAATGGTTTTATTTTGGTAAGTTTGTACCTATACATAAGATATTTTGATCATTTCTTGTATAACATTTGCAAATGAATCTTCAACATTTGACCACTAAGTATGTTTCATCTGTATGAAACAGTAATATTGTTATATGAAAATGTATTAATACAATCAATACAATCAATTATGTTAGAAAACTCTCCTATTCACTTCTATTTGTCCTTCATTTATAATTTTAATATTACTAAATATCACAAGTTTACCATCTTTAAAAATTTATTGTGGAGAGAAAGTCATAACAACTAAACAAGCGAGGATGAAGCATTGCAGCCTCATTCCCTTCAGGTTTTGGTTATATTTGAAAGCACAATTAAGATAGAAATCTGGTAGTTACCTGCTTATTTTTCACACCTCTAATTGTCTCTTTACAAGAGAACCTATAAGTAATACTTTCCAAGTTAAAATCATCACAAAGTTTGCAAATTAACGCACATGGAAAAGGTAGTTTCCAAATATCTCAAATAGTAAACGTATATCCAACAACAGTAAAATAATTGAGAAAAATTGAAATTAAATAAGAATATTCAGAAATTAAAGTTCTATTAATTTTGCTAGCCTTCACATTTAAGTTAAAACTATGTACATTTGTAAAAGAAGTACCTTACATTGAATTTTACTTTTATTTTTCCATATGATATAGAAATATATTTATACACACATAGAGTTCACTGTTAACCATAACAACCAGAACGTGTTAATTACTTTCAATTTTAACAATTTCAGTAGTTAACAAGATGTAATATGATATGATATATTGTCTGACAATACATAGAATTAACACTTACAATTAATATGTTCCAGTTGTCACAGTTTGTGTATAGATGTCCCCCGAAAGACTCATGCAGTCATGGGACTAGCTCCTAGAGTTTGTGATTGATTAATGGACTGATGCTGGGATTACAGGCGTGAGTGCTACACCCTCCTTGGGGCGGGCAGCCTGCATACAATGTAAGGGAGGGAAAGAGGTTTGCTCTCTGGCTCCTCCCATTTTGCTCTCGTTGCTTTTGGTGTCTTCTGCTACCATGAACTGTGCCCTTGGAGCCAGTTATGGACTGAAACTTCCACAAACTGTGAGCTAAATAATCCTTTCCTTCCTTAATTTTGGGAGTCGAGAATTTTGCCTCAGCAATGAGAGAAAAGTAATTAAGACACCAGTGTGATGTTAGTTAATAATAAAATGGAGGCAAATTTGGAGAGTGGAATGGGCAAAATATTTGTAGATGTATACATATTTGAGATTGAATTGCAGTAGAGTTGTTCACATAACAAAGCTATTACACCTAACATCTTATGACTTACTTTTGTGTCACATGTTCTCTTACATATGTGTAAACTAACAGAAAGGAATACAGACTAGACTCAATTAATAATATTTCTTACAAATACAGAAATTAGAGCATACTGAAATAGATCCTGGACAAAGTAGTTTCAATGTTTAAGGATAATAAATATTCAGGAAACTTGAAAGTGGTTTCAAAAGAACTTAGAAAATTGAGTGAACATAAATGTTAAAGGTATCCTTTCTGCTTTGAGAAATATCCTTTCATGAAATATTTTATATACTAGAATACTAGTTATAAATGAATTTAATAAAATAGTATTTGATTATAAAATCAAGTACTTTTGACATTTATGAGTAGTCAATCACCAAATATAAAGAAAATAAGTAGTCTGGGTTCTTTCAAGAAGAATGTTGTTGTTTATCTGAAAAAATAACTAGGCAAAAATATTTGCTAAAACAATTATTTTTGGAAATACATTCTATTTTTGCAAAAGTAGTAAAAGGTGAGTATCTTCTTATTAAGTTTGTACTTCTAAATTGTGTACCTAAATGTTGTATCATTTAGTGTGTCTATTTGTAATTACATCATTTAACAATAATAAAAAAGACAGAGAAGTGCCAATAATGTCATGGTTGGAAGCTTCTGGAAATCCAAAGGATGCCAGAGCTGGCACCGAATGAAAACTCACTGAGCAAAGTCTCTTCTTGCCATCTGTGAAGAATCCACTCAGGAAACTCAGAAGCCAAGGCCCTTCCACAAAATGAGCAAAATTATAGGATGGAACAGGAGTAAAAGGCCTCTGGGGGTGTGACTTGTTATAGTTATACTACTCACATACAGCTATGATAAAGCAAATATGTATAAAATATACAATGGGGCACTGTGAAGGCACTCTTCTGTTTGAGAAAGAACTTCAAATGACAAGTGATTTTAGGACTCAGTCCATTTTTCAAAAAAGGCTTCATGGGTTGCTGACAGTACTTGGTTTAACTTCTGAGTATATCTTGAAATCCAGAAGAATTTTAAAGAGTTTTAAAACATGATTCCACTTTTCATTTTTAACCTCTCTTGCCCCATATAAAATGCAGCCATAAATGAGATCTACTTGCTTGCAAGTTACAGAATAGAAAATACACCTTACGATATTTGTCTCTCAGTAACTTTGTGGTTATTATGAAGATATGGAATGGGAATCTTCTGTCTTTTTAATAGTGTGTAATCCGTTTCTAGTGTAATTTTATTGGCTTGTTGAAATAAATTGTCTACATTGGTGTTTGCAACTACACACATTCTGGATTTGTGGAAGGACAAATGAATGCAGATAACACAATTGCCCTCTGGTCTTGGGGCCCATAAACACTCCTACAAATAGAATATGTGCTCTTAGGTTTTAACATGCTTTTCCTCAGTAGTTAAACAAACTGATAAAAATGCATATACCCAGGAATTGCCTGAGCCTATTTTTACTAATCTTTATTTAGCATATTTTCAGCATTTTTTTTTCTGTCAAACATTTTACTTTCTTCTCCAAAACCCCCACATTTGTGTGGAAAGTGCTGTTATTTCTCACATAGATAAGAATCAGATTGACACCACATAAGGAAGACTAACAGAAACTTGATTTACAGCTCTGTAAGTCCCGAAGGACTGAACATTTTCCATTTTTGTCAAAAAGTTGTAACTTCTTTTTCTTTAAAAAACTGTATTCTAAATAGTAACTTAGTGTAGCAGTTAAAATGCTCACATTATCTTTACACTGACCATAGAAAGATAAGTTCTATTATTTAGAATGATTGTTGTATTACAAAATAAACTTTCTTCATTTCATTATATCTCTAATAGCTAATGGTAATATATCTTGTAACAATATGATTTATTTAATTTAGATTCTGAAATTAAAATTTTTATTTATTTAAATACTAATCTAATTGTGTGATTTATGATTATTCAGTCGATCAGCTGGTAAGGTTTTACATCCATAGAGTTATAGGAAAATTCCATTTACTTATAGACAAACAAAAAATCGCAAGCCAATCATTAGCAACAACAAATTATTTAACTCTTAGAATTAGTACATGCTGTTTTTTGGACAGACTAACTAATGCAGAGCTATAATTTGCAAGCAAATTTTGAGAAACTTCTCCATATCTTTCTAGACTGAAAGAAGCAGATATATACTGGGAGGGTGAGTGTTTGAATTTTGGTTTCTGAGCTCTATCATTAACTCAAACAGGAACACACTTTCTCCATTCTCAGGGCTCAGAACATACATCAAGTGCTTTTATTCACTCCTCCTTCGTCCAATACTTGCTTAATCACTAGTGTTTCATTTCTGTTACACTTCCCAGGTAGTTTCTAAACTGTGCCATGAGTGAGATTAGATTTAGTTCTCTGTGGATGCCCATTGCAATTGTCACTTCCGAAAGGCACTGAAAATATTTTTTCCTGCTGTGATTTGAGAACGAATTAATACTATCTATGAGACAAAGGTGGTATTGTCTAAATGGAGAATTTTTGTTTGTGTGGTGGTAAAACATTAATGGCAGCCACCCAGCATATTCACATCCTTTCACTCTTCCATGTACAGAAAAAAATCTAGATATATCAAATAATTACTTTAAAATCAAAATAACAATGTTTCATGTTAGAATTTTAATTTAAATTATTTCAACTTAAAAGAAGATACGACAAGAACGTTAACCACAGGCTACTCATTTACTTATGCAACTTATAAAGAACATGACCCAAGACTAAGAGAAACTTTAGTTTTTGACTTAGCAGATTGTTCTTCTCATTGCTTTAATAAATATTGCTGTGAAAATCAGCTTCTAGAATGACAAATTGAGACTAGCACCTATTTTATTGTGTGGCCAAGATGTTTCTATTTGAGTTTACCATGTACAAAAATTTCCTATATGAATGCATAAAAGAAAACAAACACAAATAAAATTTAAAGGTAAATGAGGAACTATTTATAAAATCAGAAGCCAAGAACTGAAATATTTGCAATATATAATATTGATTTAAATTTTAGAAGTGCAGAGAAATGTCATAAATTCTTATTGAAAGAAGTGGTTACTCCTTAATAATGTTTTTTGTACTAAAATTGACACATTGAAAGAAATACAACAAACTATAGCATGTGTAATCACCTAAATTTAGTTAGGAACAGCTACTATTAATTCTAAGCCAAGATGCAAGTAATACTTTTACAAAGAGGGCCACATTTCCATTGTTACCTGTTTTTGGTTCCACGGAGAAGTATGGCTGTCCTTGCAGAATGCTGTAGACCACTCGAGCACTGTTACCATATGTAGGATCATCAGCATCCGTTGCTGTCACCTGAACCACTGAAGTCCCTAGGTGACAACCCAGAAACCAGTAGATTAAATGTGTCCGAATAAAACAACATGGATTCACATGCTGTTGCAGATTCTACATTAGATTCATTTATAATTTTAATATACTTCTTTTACTGTGCATGAAAAATTGATCTAGTGCTTTTTAACTCAACCTCAGAGATAAAGAATCTTCGAAATAGTAAAGAGTTATGAAAATACTTCAGCAAAAGTATATCATTGATGATGCACGCTAAATTTAAAAATGCTGAGAACTGAATGGGACTGAGAGTGAAGGCACCCGACCCATGAAGTCATGTGAGAAGTTTCCATCAAGTGCCGTCTCTAGAAGAGTCAATGACTGTCCAGAGATAGACAAAAAAAAAAATATCTGGGATACCAAACCATCAGGGCTATCTCACTACTGTTGTTAAAGAATGTCATTTTTACCTGTTTTGGGTAAGCTGAAATTTCATTAATTGTACAAAGAATATTTGGCCATTTAACTACATATCATGTTTCCACCTTATCTCTTGGTAATTTAAATTTTTTTCCTAATAATTGATTTTAAAACAAAATAGGAGGAAACATATGGCAATTTAAAAATGGTATTATTAGTTGTTTTTCAAATTGGACATCATATTGTTTCTGCATTGTATTATACATTCATTTATTCAATATGAAAAGAATTGTTATGATCTGTTCCTTTTTTCCCATTTGATATATAATCTTCAAAACATTAGAGACATGTTTCCTTAGTTCATACAGCTAAGCACGTACTATCCTACAGTTCATGTTTTTTTCTGATGCAGAAGGAAAAAAGCCCCTTTCTTTATATATTCTCTAAAGTCTCAGTTTATTTCTAATAATGTCCTGAATACAGTATCTAAAATCTAATATTTTCTTTAGATGTATTTTACATAGATCTTTTCTTTTTAAATCTCTGAAATGTCATTAATATTCATGTTGCTACTAATACATTCAATTTTCCATATGACTTACCTTACCAATTTCTTTTTCAAAAAATTGGGTACAAGTGATTAAATGATAAACATTAAACCATTTTTTAATCTTTAAGGTTTCTTTTTTTTTTTTTTTTTTTTTTTTTCTCCGGTACCAGGAACCGAACTCACGACCTTGCGCTTGCCAGGCAGGCGCTTTTGCCACTGAGCTAAATCCTCAGTCCCTGGTTTCTTTTATTTAATAGATTTAAGTGATCATGCATTGTGGATACCTAAGAGACTCAAGATAGTGAATGTCTCCTCTTAAAACTTTTTTAAGAATTAAATTTTGAATATATTTAAATGTTATATTATATATTTAAAATTTTCTCTATAATGCAACATCTTTATCTCAATAGTGATGATATGCTTAAGTATTTATATCCTCTTCATTTTGAAAGGAAACAATTTTAAACATTAAAAAAAATAAACCCATAAATGTTTTATTCAATATCTTTTCCTCTGAAAAGTTCATTTAACTTAATGCATCTAATAAATAGTGTGTTATACACTGCATCTGTGTATAATATACATATACATATGCATACCTATACACATTTGCAAATAAATGTAAATTGTTCATGCCTATATATGCTCTTCTAGTAATAAATAAATAGTACTTGAGGCTTACGAGTGTTCTTAGAAAACACAATTAGTTAACATTCAATTAAAACCTCTGAATATTAAGCATTCAAAGATTGCCTTGTATATACCATACTGTTCAGTGGTTATTTTAACTGTTTACTGAAAGTTATGCACTTAATTAAACTATTACTCACTGTTAATCTACACAGCTTATGTTAAGTTGATATCCACTGATCTAAATATGAATTGTTAGAGTAACCCAGCGGTTTAAATCAGTGCCAACTAAATCTTAAAGATTTCTAAAATCATTTTCTAAAAATTGTAACCTGTGACTCAATCAAGTAATCTAAACTTACATGTGTGCGCAATAACCACGCTGTTTGATATTAAAGTAGTAGCATCAGAATCAAAACTACAGGCATTATTTACTCGTAAAACAAGAAGTTCACATACATCCAATTTGCACAGCTGTATTCTGTGAAGGAGAGGAAAACCTTACTAGCTAAGGAAAAACTCTCCAAATGCCTCTGAGAGAGAGAACTGTGAAGTTTAGTTCAATTGCTCAGACAAACCCGACAAACACCACTTTCACTCAACATTACCTCCCTTTGCTTCTACAATCTCTAAAGCATCACTGTTCCTACTGCGGCTGTTATTGCTAAGCAGTAGTGCCAAGAGGCACCCTGAAGGGTGGGTAGCGCTGAGAAAGTGGGAGTATGCCTGACTGGTCATTTGGATTTGCTAATCTTAGTTTCTGCCAATGAGGCTCAGAATTTTTCATGACCACGAGTATTGATTCTTTGGTCTCACTTTCAATTTGTATTTCTTTAGCACCTACAGTCATTGTACCTCAAAACTATTTCCGTCTCCCATCTGATAAGAACTGAAGTCTAAAGTCACTAAATTATGATTCTTTAAAGATTATCCATGGTATACAGCTCTGCAATCCCACTCCTCGTTTTAGCTGGTATGTTGGTTAAGTATCTGCAGACAATGACCTTTACTTAAAACAAATCACATGGGCTGAAATATCCATGTGTTATAAGTTTCAGTAATATTTTAAATATATTTCCTCCTTCAGTACTTAAAACAACTAATAAATACATAAATTAGCAGGCCACTATTCCAGCCCCATATTTTATTATATTTTAAGATTTTCCTCACTTGAATTATACACACTGGCTGAAAAATATTCCAGAACTACCTGAGTACATGGCAGTTAGACCTGAATTTATATTAATGTATTTGATAAAAAATTTATATTAGAGGTGCATTTTTTTCCTAGCAATGGGAAAATTAAGTAAAACTGATTGCATTATTTCTTATATTTCTCCAGCTAAATATTGCTTTATGGCTATTTAACAAATATTGCTTTACCATCATAGTGAGTATTATAGACTCACTATTCAACTTTAACAGGAGAATTACAAGAAGTTCAGTGGTAGCATGTGATAGATACCTATGAGTTCAAGCACACTCACTATAAACAGATCAACCAATTCAGATGTTGGCCTGGCTGGCCACTCACAGCATTCATGATGCATGGATGATGGAATGATATTTAGATCAGTGACTCATTACGGTAATAGCATAGAAAGAAGCACAAAAGATCATCACCAGGCTGTGTGTGGAATGACTTCATTTTTTAACTTCTCAGGAAAAGTTGTAATCATATTTTTAATATAAATAAATATTAAACAGAAAAGAAAATGTAAGACAGATGATTTATTAAAGACAGTAGGGTACTATGTAAAAGAAAAATACAATTAGCAACAGTCATGCCTCAGATAGACCTCCAAGGCTACAAAATTGCCACTGTGCAAAGCTTGAAAAAACACAAAACGTAAAGATTATTTCTTAATGTTCTATACAAATAAAATGATATAGTGAATGAATGGGTTATGGCTAAATTATGTCAAATTTTCCCTCTTCCTGACAATTGCCAGGCATGTAAGAATGTGTTTTTTCCCTTTGTACTTGCGGACAATTTACATTTAAATATGAGCCACTGGAAGTCTGATAATCACTGCAAATGCAGCACTTTTTTACTCACCCACAGGAGACATTTCAGGAACTCCTGCTGTGTATGGTCCATCCAAAAATTTGGGTTCATTGTCATTGATATCCTGAATTTTGATGACAAATTCTGACTCTGGCTCCACGGGTTTGTTGGTGAGTCTGTCCAGTGCTTGAGCTCGGAGTGTGTAGTAGGCCTGCTCCTCTCGATCCAGTCTTTTGGTAGCGTGAATATCCCCCGTGTTCTCATCAATAATGAAAATGGAACTTGCCCCTTCACCTGACAAGATGTATTTGATGGAACCATCTCCTTTATCAACATCGGAGTGAAGCTGGTGAAAAATTCATGCGAGATGAGATTAACTTACAAGAAAGGCTGCAATATTAAGATCTGTAAAATTAATTCTTATGTCAGGCATTGGGACACAAAATTTTATTGCTTTTGGAAAGATAAGCTGAGTGCTTACTGTGCAGAACTGAGGGACTGTGAGAATGTAGTGTCTGACACTGAAGTGCAAGACAGTTTCATTTCTTCCCATGAAATGGGTTCATTTCTAAGGATATTTGCTATCACTTCCAAAGTCAAGAGCTTATAGTGTTATTTTTCAAGTGGGCTGTGCTAATTTAAGCCATCTTTTCATCTAACATAGCCAGCAGTCAGTAAACATGTGATTTATTTGAGTTTATTCCAAACAAAGAGATTTTCTATGGAACATGTGTAAATTTACTTCTAATATACTATTTAATATAGTTAGAAATCCTCACAGTCTTATGGGTTCTCTCTGTCCTTACTACCCTGCCTCCCCTCCCCTGAAAATTTTTTTCTATGATTAACCAACATAGGTGAAAGTCCAGTTATTAAATCTATATCCAAATCTTGCTCTGTGTTTTAAAATTTGAAGCTAAAAAATTACAATGCTCTCTAAAGTAGAAATTTGAAATCAATACGTGCATAGGACTTCAACTAAAACCTTTCCTGAAATACCAAGAACTGCATTAGATTTGCATGATTAACCCCAGCATCAGCAGCAGGGGCAGCAGCTACTGATTTGCATTTCATATCTGGAACTGTCCCTGCTGTATGTCAGAACATTATGTTGAACAGAGGAACCTTAGGAAACTCAGAAATAATTACACATTTTCCTGAACTTTGCAACCTGAGAAACACAATACTCAATCTGTCATTTCAACGGTCTTTCATCGCCTTTAACTGCCATATCATTCTGGACTTTGGTTAATATGAATGTAAAAACCCAATTTACCAAATAACAAAGCTGTTCACTGCCCTACAGAACTACATTTGCATATCTCAAAAGATAAAGTGCTAAAAATACAAAATATGGAAAACTACTTAGGAACAAGTGGCCACGGTGCATTTATAGCCTTCCCTGGTCGCTGCGGAGGATACAGCTTTTTGCACCATGAATTCTAGGTGATTATCCCCTGCTCTCTAATAGCTGTGTTTATAATCTGCTTTATGCTACTTAAATAACTGATTTATCCTTTGTAGTTTTTAGTCAGGACTAAATAGTACCAAAAAGAGACTTTCTGGCACAGTTATAATTTAAAATTTTTCCCTGTGGAATGATCATTACGCCACGTGCTTACCCTACATATGGGGAAGGTGTGTTCTTAAAGTTCTGTGAATAACTTAATATTAGGAAGGGAGAAATACGAAAAATATTATCTGAATTCTTGCGAACCTTGTTTTTAACGTCCTCTTCATAGTACCTCATTTAATATTCAAAACTGTCTTTATTAATCTTACTAGTGGCTGAAGACACTGTGTAGAGAAAAACTAAGTCCTCCAGGTAGCTCTTCGGTAGCCTCGGATTATGAAAACGACCTCGTTATTGGAAGATTCCAGGCCCCCTTCCTGTGGGAGAACTTGCCTGTGGGATAGAATCTGCACTCTTGTGTGGCAGGGGCACTGGGAATTCACGCAGCATTCACATCAGCTTAAAGATGCTCAGTGTGGGGCTGGTTTCTGTCAGTGCACTTTCTGGCTCCTGAGAACAGTCCTTTCTTGCTATTATATAACAATAAACTACCGATTCAGCTCAATCTTTAAGTCCTGAGACAAATGTGGAAAACACATGAAAACAAGTCTTTCCTTTTTAAACTGCTACTAACATGTCCCTCAACTCACTGTTCAAATGCAGTCTCCTAATCCTGCCCTCACCTGTTCTTCCTTTGGGGCTGCATCTGTGGGGACATGTCCACGTGCTCCTGATAATAGTGGTAAGAAATGTCAGGGGCATTAGAAAGCCATAAGAAATACTATTTATGATATGGGTCAGGACTTTAAGGTTTTCTGCTTCTCCAAGTCATACTTACGATCTCTTCTTATAGAACCAGCCCTTGTGATTTATTTAAATAATCCTTGTCAACTGACCATTGTTTTCATACATGTTGATACAAGGTCCTTGAGCTAGTTCAGGTATGGGGAGAGAATCAATTTCTTCTCAATATAAAGCACACATCAAATCAGTCTGTGGACTTCAACCTGAGCTGTGATGCTGTCGTTTTACACTGTGGTGTTGTGTCCCCATTACCGACAGAATAAGAGCTTAGAGGTAAAGTGTTCGTGATGCTTTTTCCTCCAGTCTCCAGGGACTGTACTGCTTCTTTTCTACTACTGTCGCCTCCAACACAGATGCAATTATATCCTTTGTAAGGAGGCCTGAACTTTCCCCTCCTCCTCGTCACTGACAATTTCCTCCCAGCTGGTACCATCACTAGGCTTGCAATTAATGCTACAACTCACAAACCGAAGACTGCTCGGAATCTACACTCTGTGTTAATGCAAGGTTAGTATAAGCATCTGTGGTCAAAAGTGATGCCCAACTTTGAAATGCTAAGGTGGGTACATAATTATCAGATGCCTTCAGACATTTAGCCTGTGAGACTAGGTTCATTACACTAATCGCAATAGGTAGAGTGAAACCCTGATTGTTACTGAAAAGTTGCTATCTCTTCATATGAAAAGTAAGGTTCCAGCACAGATGAAAAGGTCACAAGTATAGAAATAACAAATTATATTCTTAAATTGACATACATGCCACTATAAATAGACACAGACACGCACGTCTTTGTGAAGAATTGAAAAGCAGAGCAAAGAAGGGTGATTCTCCACAGTATAAGTGCATACGCTTTAAAAAATAGTCTATGGTTTCACAATGTGGTAAATGAATAAGAAATGAAAAATACAACAAAAGCAAGTATTTACACTCTATTTCAAGCAAGGTACAACTCACAATCTATTTCACTTGCAAATACTCTTCTAAAGGTCATCCTGAAATTAGCCTAACAATAACCAACAAATGAAACACTTCAATTCATTAATCCTCACACAAAACTCACCATTCCAAAATCATTTTTAAATTACCTATTATGACTCTGAAATAAATATTTACATTACTTTATAAGATATTTTTCAAGTGAGAAAAACAGGAACCTTAGCTGAAGGGCCACCAAAGTATTATGTGAATCCTGGTCAAAATTAGCATTGTATAGAGTGATGTATGTAGTAAAATATATCGAAGTGGTATATGAATAGTAAGATATATCAAAGTGGGTTGAACCACTGAACTACACAGGCTAGGAAAACACAGCATAGTGTACTTGTACTCTCGGATATATTTCTTAATAATCCATTACGGTTCTATCCGGTCTAGCTTGACAGAGCGGCCCACCCCATTTTCTCTAGCATAGCCAGCCTCACTTCTTTTCTTTTCGCTGTCTCTAAATTGAAATTCTAGTTTAAAATCATAAAACCTTTCACCTGGCCTATTATAAAAGTTCTCAAATAGTCACTTATTATAACTGGTATTATTGAGGTTGTCATCATATCCCTAAAATACAGTCAGTCATGTCACACCCTTCATCAGATATGCCCTGTGAACGTCGAGAGTACATTTACTGATGAGGGCTAAAGCAAGACACTGAGACTGGACAGCATCTCTCATCTGCACAAGGCTGGACCCTGAAGACTTCTGGGATGGATCAGCACCTGAACCTGGCACGGCACTGCCCAGGTGTCAGGCAATGTAGCTTCAGGGAGCATTTGCTAAAATCTTGTGCTCACTGAGCATAGTGGCACAAGCCTGTAATCCCGCACTTGGGAGGCTGAAGCAGAGAAATAACCTAAATTGAAGACTAGCTTGGGCTGCATAGTGAATTCAAGGACACCCTGAACTATGTAGTGACATGCTGTGTCAAAAACATCAAAACAAAATAAAGTGCTTATAATCATTTTAGAATTGTGGAAATCATATCTTTATAAAAAAACAAAACAAAGCAAAACAAATTACTCTTTATAGTTCATTTCAAAGTGAACGGAACATTTACATAACCATTGAACTTCATTCTTTCATGTTTTCAGCATGCTTAATCATATACATTAATTATTTCCCATGACCTACGAATTGAGCATGGGCCTCAACCTGGCTGTGTACTGGCCCTCCAGCCTCCTTTCCCCACATCTTACAGTGCACTCTTTGCTCTAACCATGGCGGACTGAGCCCCACTGTCTAAGCACACCGGCACGTGCGTTCTTCTCACACCTATCCTCCATGGTCCTGCCCGCTACCTGATTTCCATTTGAGCTAAATGAAACTTCTGTTTTTACTGAAGCCTCACAAACCTCCATTTTCTTCATAGATTTCTGGAGTTTCTATGAAATTATTCATTTAATTATGTTTATATTGAAAGCCTACTTAAGTTGTTTTCATATCAAATTCCTTCTCTAACTTATAAACTCCTTAAAAACTTGGTCCTTTTTATCATCATGTTCCATATTCCCAATAAAAAATGTATTGGTATTAAATGTGGTGAATTTATAATCCACTTTGTAAAATGGTAGTATATGTTTTATTCCAATTTCTATCTTCTTAAATTTTAATAACACTAGGGAAAACAAAGCAAAGCAAAACAAAGTAATCATAAAACATCCTGCATCTCTGCATTTTTTCTCCCTAATCTTCTAAACCATGTAAATGGAGCTCAGACAGATAGCTCACATTGTACACCGTTTGTTCACGGTAACATGTTGTGCTGTACTTTCACTTTTACATGTTTGAGTTTCCAGAAGACACGGCCCTCAGAGAGACAGATACACTTTCTTGTTCCTGTTTCTCTAGATCTTACATAGTAAGCCACAGGCAGACACACACACACACACACACACACACACACACACACACACACACTCTACACACAAAAGAGGACAAAGATGTTTGAAAGACTCTGGGATGCAAGAATCCCCATTCCTTTCATTAATTTTTTCATGCACCATTTATCTGTAGTTTAAAATTGTAAAGCCAAAATAAGA